GCAGGAATGACTCACTGGGCATAACTACTGCATGTTGTCAGAATGTAATGAAAATTATTTTGGTCTTCTGCTTTTAAGCTGGAATCCCGCTAGTAAACTGTAGGCAGATTGACTTAGCAGTAAGTACGCTTATAACTCTGAAAAAAATAGACGTTTCATTTCACTGGCAGTTTGTGATAGCAGTCCTCTTGCTACCTCTCTGACACAACCAGTGCCTGCCTGGAGTGGGGAGCGCCTCTTCTTCCTCGCCCCTACTGCAACAGTCAGTTTATTTGTTGGACTGGAACTGGAAACACAATTCACTGCTAAATTTTCCACAGCTAAGGTTAAATAAATAGTTGTTTGTTATTCCAGCTGTTGGTCTGTGGGCATATATACAGTTAATATTTAAAATCCATGAAAAGACATATTCACAAGGTTTGGGAAAAATGAGGCAGTTTTCCTTCCTGTAATGGCAGGGATCTCAAATGAGTTGTGTTGTCAATGGGAGCACAAGAGGTTATATAGTTTTCCATAATCTATAAAGCTTCTTCAGAATCATGTCATTAGCTTTCCTGTGGTAGTGCACAGCAGAGCTAATAATGCAATTATGGTTCATGTAGTTAAACTATGCTATTGATATTTTTTTTTTCCCAGGAGGCCTTCATTTCTAGCAATTCTAATCATCTTCATTGTACAGCTGTATGGATTCCACATTTCACTGTGAGGGAAATAAAATTGCAAATAAATACCATCTTTCCTAATGTGTCTGTAAATGCCAGATTTAGTAACCATTAACCAAATGTTGGAGTCTATAAAATGTATAATTCTTCATATAAAAAAAGCATAGAACGGGCCACATTCACATACCAGTCACCAGAATAAACTATTATGATGGAGTAAATGCGAGCAGAATTTCATCTGATATTTGATTATTCTCATTTCTTGCCACTATAATTCATTAAATTTTCTGTTTTTGGTATACTAACTCTTCCCTTGTCTGTCTACTGTATTTAAACTCTATGTATTAGAGTAAATTAGTATAATTACCATATGAAAATAGTGTGTGCTTTTATCTTCTTTTAACTTCCCATTCTTTTGAACAAATCTGGAACCTGGACTTCTATACTTTCACCTGATGTACAGTAAGTATGAGAGCTGGCAAGCACAGGATAATTAAGATGCCCTTTAGTGTATTATTAAGCATTAATTTGTGACTCCCATTATGGAAATATTCTATTTTTTTAGAAAATGAATGGTTCTATCTGTGCCAATCCCCACTATAGCAAAAATCTTGATCCTGAGATGTTGGAACCCTCATTCAAAAACATACAGCAAGGAGTACGGACGTTCCCTGACTCCATGGTCTCTATCTCCATGATTAAGGTTGTTCTGAGATACATTATTTGAGCAATGAACCTCTGAAAGTACTGCCCTGTTTTCTTGAAAAAATTAACTGTTGTGTTGTGAGTAAACTATCATACACATTAAAAAGCCTTTAGAAAAAACCAAAAGGTAAGGTGATCCTGTGTTAATCGTTTTGCTGAGGAACGTCCTCATCCTTAAATGTGTCTGGGACACAAAGAGTCAAAAATAAAACACAGAGAATTATTGCTATTAGGTGTTTGAGGAAAAAACACAGATATGAGAGGGATCTGCTAATTAGGCTTCTTCAATGTACCGCGTGGAGATGGAAAGAAGTTGAAAATCAAAATAAAGCAAACACAGTTAAGGTCTTTAGATACTCTAGCAAGAAGTTGTTGTCTGTGAAAATGAAATCTCTGTGCTCTTATTATCTTTAGAGAGAATATCTGTCATTTTCCCTCATACATCAGAGGCAAGGTAGCACCAAGTTGTCACTTAGGGATCCCATGGGATATACAGCCCAGGTCAAATGCAAGGGAGCCGAGATGGGGAGGACCAACTTTAACTATCAGAGCACCACGTCAGGAGCATAGAGCAGTTCCTGCCATCCCCCCCTCCACGACTGCTGGAGGGGAGAGAGACTGCACAGTGACAGAGCTGGCAGAACTCTTAGTGACGTTCACATGCATTTTCCATTATAACCCACATTTTTAAATTGCTCAACTCTTTCTACTTATTCCATTAATACTATTTTTTTGTGTTATGTAGTAACACTTCTGACTTTTGTTCTTCAGTAAAGCATTGAAAATATTCAACTCTCTGATCTGAAATATATAAGCAAAATGCTGTTAAGATATACTGACTAGAAAAGTTGTGCAGGCATAACTTCCTAGTGTCCTTTTTCGCTGTGGTTTTGTTTTACAGGTGGTGCTAGGTAAAAGCAGCAGGCTGTCTTTACAGGCTAAGTAGTTCTGAAATTGAGCATGAATACATTTTCATCTACGCAGAAGTTTTCTTATGTTATTTTGCTTAACCAAACCTTTGGTGGTTTGCTACTATTTTCTTCTCTCCTTTTATATAACAGGCAGTCTACAAAAGTGCTTTGCAGGAATGTAAAGTACAAATTTGTTGCTTTTGGCAATCAAAAACAAAAGGAAAAACTTGGTGTGATATTTCACCAGTAACTGAATTATGATACAAGGAGAGAGGAACATAAAACAAATGTGGGAAAAAAGAATCAGTTTTTCAGGTCTGCTTTAAGCAGACTAATGAATTAGCATGTCTATAAAAATGTGGGACTTGGCCAGTAGTACAGCAGGCACTCAGTGACCACTAAACAGTCCAGATAAACCGAGGCACAAAACACCTACTGTGCAGCTTGCCATCCCAGATACATTCCTAGAATTTTATCTGACCCAGTTGGAATGCTAATGGGTAACTACTGTTTTGTGGGTTTGTTGGAAAATCAGCAGTGGATAAGGGTTTTTTAAAAAAATAATCTATGTGTTATCCCTATTGGTTATCAGTTTTAATAGTAGGAAATAATATGAACAATAAAATTACCTAGTATCCTGCAAAAATTACTTTTCTTAGTGGGCCACTGCCGTCCCTTCGATAGGTAGAATGTCTGAAATGCAATAAGTGCAAAACCAAAACATTTTCAGATTAAAAGAAATTACTAATAGTTACACTATAGTATTGGGTAGAATTTCTAGACATTGCTAATAAATGTAGAAAACAAATTGGATTGAGGTCCTTAATTCCTTTTATCATTTTTTTTAGGGGATGAAAAGCTTTATTAGAATTAAGCTCATCTGAAACTTATTATTCTTTCAGTATGCTAATTAATAGAGCAGGATCATGGATTTGTTAATTAAAATAAGATACCTCAGGGAAACTGAAATTAATTTTGATGTCCTAATAGAGTTACCACTATGTCATTAAATCTTGTGGAAGTCTTCTCCATTTCTCTTCTTTTTCTTCTCTCAAAAAGAAAAAACATTTAATTTAGTTTGAATTTAGAATTAGAATATTGAATGGTGACTTTCCGAAGATGTGGAGGAGATCAGTTGATAGTCTTGGAACAGCTATAGCCCTCCTGGGAGTGTCAGGACTGTTCACCTTGTGCTCTGAATGAGCACAAAACTGTCCACCTCTGGGTCACTGGACCTGTGTTACTAGGAATCAACTTGTAAACAGTCCCTCCAGCAGCCTACTAGAGTAATTTAGTAATGCTGGCTTGTTTTTCAGAGACAGAACTAGCAAATTTATTGTACTTTAATGAAATGTCTTTCGTGGATGGAAGGTGCCATCTGACAGATAACACTGTGGTCAGCTGGGTCTGTCCATGTCAGTGATTCAGTTTGTACAGAGTTTTTTCAGGCAATCTCCTGATCGCCCCCACTTGCTGCACTTGAGTGTAGTTTTGGAGGAGTCCTGGAGTGTGCAGACTGATTCCTGTTGGGTGGGACCAAACTGGAAGACGTGCTCCAGGAGCACGCCAAGAGCCACCAATGGTGCTTGACTGAGAAGCCACACTAGAGCCAAAGCAACACCCAGAGCTGCCGAGCGAGGGTGAGTTCTCAGTGCCTGTCTTTTCACAGGTCTGCTGCTGTTGCACTGTGCTGATGTGGACAACCCTGGGGCTGTCCAGGTCTTACCTAGTGCCCTGACAAGAGATCAGACTGTTGATGTGACAGCTGATGCAAATGCTGATTTCAATTTAAGTCATTTTTACAGAAGGAGAGGTAAGTATGAAAGAAGTACTAGTTTCTATCCTATAGAAAAGCACAATTGGTCTAATTTTATTTAATGAATTTTCAAGGCCAGCAAAGTTCTGCATCATTGCTAGAAGTGTTAATTGCATTTGTACCCAAAACTTCTGTCATTTGATATACTAGAAGTCAGAAATAATCTTATTAGTATACCAGTGTATATTGTTTGAGTAGTTTATCTCGCTTTATCACTGGGTTAAGTGGATAAAATTTAATTAGAGACAAGCACTAGATCTGATTTTTAGAGGCTGCTGAGCAGTTGCAGTTTTGTTAGTCTTGTGAAAGCTTGTGACTTCTGAGGAAGAATGCCTGCTGTTTGCCTTCAGCCTGAAAAGTGTTCGACGGATTTGGTTACATGTAAGGAAGGGCAAGGTGCAGTTATCTTACTGTTGAATCCGTGTTTAATAAGCAAAAGAAAGTTGAGGTGGTTTATGAATTTCAGTTGAGCTTGGAAAATCATTTTAAGCCCATATAAAAATAAAATCCACTAAAATTCACTTCAGCTTCTCAGATAGATTAATCACTCTACTGTTTACTCAAGTAAGCAGAAAAGAGGCATAAAATGTCTTTGTTTTCAATACAGAGTTAAAACAGTGAACGTTATATGTACCTGCAGAGTGCTCTTGCCACAGAGCTAGAAAGTTCTTCTCTCTGATACTCCAACCTAATGAATATTATGTGATATTTACCTGAAGAAGAATAGCTTCAGGACAGATTTGAAAAAAAATTCCCTCAGATTGCTCATTAACCAGGGCAAAATCACTCAGAGGCAAGAGACCAGTTTTAAAATTTCTCCATGACCAAAGAGAAGGTTTGGTACGTGGTTTGGTGCAAGACACATTCAAGCCTTGCACACTGCTTCTTTCTGGCCTTATTTTTATTTAAATCACACTGGTCTGCTTCTGTAAACCAACCTCTTCATGGTCACACTCCCTCTGCTTTTATCCTAAATCCTGTTTAAGATGATTCAGATTGAAATATTTGGGTCTGGGGTTGATTTCATTATTTTGGACTAATCATTTCATGTGGCTGTTTCAGAAGGGCCAGGAAACATCAATGTCCGTGAAGCAATGGTCACCGGCAGTGGTCACCAGCAGTGCCCGCAGCCCCTCAGTGTGCTGTGTTTTCAGGAGAACAAAATTTTAAAGTGATTTAAAAAAAAAAAACCCCACACAAACAAAAAATCAACACAACAAAAACCCACCCCCCAAAAAACCCTGACAAACCCAAAAACTAAACACCTCCTCCCAGAAAAACCCAACCAGTCAAACCCCCCTCCCCTCCCCCCAGACTTCTCTATCTACTGTGTCAAAATTGGGTATGGAAGCTGGTTTATGAATTTCCTGTTGTTTTTCCAGTATTTTGCTGACATCTATATTTAGGCCCTGACCCATATCAATGCTTGCTGGGGGTAGGGTTAAAATTTCTGATGCTTATTCATTTACCATTTACCATTTACCATACCCATTTACCATTTCTAAATACAAGTGCTTGAAAGATTTCTTTCATGACCTTTTCTTACACAAGCATTTTAAGATTACTATTTTGATCCCATTTCTCCCAGTTCAATTAAACGCAAAATAAAGAGCGGATCGCTGAACAGCTGTTATTTTGAAGGCTATATTTTCCCAGTAATTCAGGCACAACTGTTACCTTGTGGAATAGCGATGGTAAACCTTCCATCGACAGACAGATGAGAGCAGCCTGCTCCGCAGTGCCGGGTGCGATATGTGTGCTGTCAGCACAGGCAGTTGGCTGGTGAACCCGCCGGCCAGCGCGGCTGATGCCGGGGTGCTGGCTGCAGCGTTTCAACATGATTGCAGACGTCTTTGGAGGGGAGGACTTACTGTAGACACAAGCTGCAGCAAGACGCCTCACAAACCAAAGTTCAAGGTGAGATCCGTATTAGGAGGTAGCTGATTTAAGAAATTGCCTTTTTTTTTTTTTTTTTCCCCTACACTATTTGTGCAGGGAGGTTTCTAGATTCTTCCCAGCGCAGAAAGCAAAACTGGGTAAAAATCTGTGGCTTGGAGCTTCTTATTGCACAGGGTCACAGTCTGATACTTATGCTCGTCCTCAGCATTTCTCCCTGTGCTAAGGGCAAATCTAGGAAAGGAAGGAAGGCTGTATAATTTCCTGTTAAAAAGATCACAATAACAATGCATTTTAATGCTGGTGACAGTTGATATTTTGAGGAAAGGAAATATAAAATGGAAGTGGGCATTAGTGACCACCCCTCTTTGCAGCAGGGAAGCTCAGGTGCTGCTCAGTGAGGTCTGGGGTGCATTTCATGGTGCCTGCACGCTCCCCTTCACCTGCCTGCTGCATGGCCCAGCACATCCCTGGCTGCTTGGAGCCCCCTGTATAAGGGCAGCTGGGGAGGAGCTGAGCACTCTCCCATGAACTTGTCCAGACTGCTGGGACAAGGGGAGAGGCACCTCCTGCTCCGGGAGGAGCTGATAGTGATACAGTGGGGAAAGGGCAGTGTCGTCTTTCACCTGCAGAGCACAAGGGCAAACATCTTGCACCAGGTTTATGGGGCAGTTTTCTGAGCAGCAGAGAGCAGGACAAGAAAACAAATAGCTTTTCCAAATACTTTGCCTTTTTGTTGGTGTCTCCTGTTTTTTTCTTGATGCCTCTGATCACTAGTGAAGGTGTGTTTTGTGAAACTGTTGTCATACTCTGGCTGTGGTGCCTGTAGAAACTAGAAGAGTGATTAGGCTCCAGAAAATCAGCGCCTATGCTGAGCCATATGGTATCTTTGCTCTGTTGATCCACCTGGTTGACTAATGCTATATGCTTGCTGGAGGAAAATCTGTGTTTTAGCTCTGTGCTGTCTGGGAGTAGTAATTTGTGTAATAACCATTAACTACAGGGATGTTTGTATGTCAGTTTAGCAGGGATGGATCCCTGTGCTTTTGGAGAAGTGGTAGTTATAGAAAAGATGCAAGGCAATTTTTCTTTAAGAAAAAAAGGAAGGTTCTAGATGTATAAACTCCTCCAGCCAAGCACTGCTTGCCCTGATCTAAGTAGTCTCATTGATTTTAATGAATCCAGGCTAACTTCTGTCTTCTGAGGATTTGCCCGTCACTTTTTATAAGCTTTACAGCATGGGATGGGATGAGTATATTTTACAGATAGAGGGAATACATGTACACACACTCAGTTTCTTTAATTTCCTTATTGCATTTTTTATTTTATTTATACCTGTGAATGTGTTGCAGATGTTCAGCACATTCACACAGAGGAAGGGAGCATGCTCAGACTCCTAGAGACAGAGTAAATGTAGGCAGTGATCCCCAGGAGCCTTCTGCAAGGGACAAAGGCAGCCAGCTTGCTCTCTTGACAAAATCCCGCTTTGGGTGCTGCCGCTCTGCATCCCGAAGTCCTTAACAGTTGGCCAGAAATACCTTTACACTATTCTTTAAATGTTTGTCCTGGTTTCTTGTGTAGTTTTTCCTGTGCATTTCTAAATAGCGCCAAAGGATGGCTGCATTTGTGCCTCGACAAATATGATTAAATCTTCTGCTCCTGAAGTCCCTAGTGAGGCTGCTTTTAATCATGACTGGAGTAGATTTTGACCAGTATGTGAGTACTTATCTTTAAAAAAATAATAAAAAAGCCAAATATTCAGATTAAGAAACTATTAAATACATAGTTTTATTTGTAAAGACCTATGCCAATGCAAGACTATTGTTTACAAATCCTGCAGACATCTGTTGATGTAATCTACTAAAATTATGCTTCAGAATAAACCAAGAAGAATAGGGTAAGAGAGGACATTTTAAAAGATGGAAAATTGAGAAAGAAGTGGAAAATCATAAAATGAACTTACAGCCAAGTTTTATATCTTTCTATTATGTGTTTACTGCAATTTTGTAAATAATGCCAGAAAATTCGTTCTTTGGGGCAGAATGTCTTCAGGGAAATGCTTGTTTCATGAGCGGCAGGACAACGACACCTGGCTCCTGCAGATGGGTGGGCCTGCCTGTGCCACGGTGGTGGCTCTTGCCCAGGAGCTGTAACAGCAGGGCCAGCAGCTCCCAGCAATCCCAGGCTGTCGGAATGACTGGGACTGGTCCTGTGTTACTGGCACTGAGCACTGCACAGACAGGCTGCGTTGGTGTTCGTGTGTTCCTCCAGGTCAGCTAGTGAGCTGTTTGGGCTTCTCAAAAATGTTTTTTACAAATGTTTGAAATATCATCTTTCAGCATATATACGTGGCTTGTCTATTTTAGGGTCATTTTTCTTACTGTACGACATTTGCCTTATGCATTGACAGAATTATTTGGGTTACGTTGGTTTGGTTTTCTGGCAGCTAAAGTAAGAATTTATTCATTTTTGAAGGTAGGTGGGTGCCATCTCAGCTGAGTTTTCATCCGTCACTTTCAAAGTCAGGTTTCCTATGTTTATCCAGAGCTTTCTGTTTCCTTTTTTCTTCTTTGTTTAGGTTTTGTGTCTGCTCTCCAGGTTAGACCCCCCTCTCCAAAGAAGTACATCTTCGATAAGGAGAAAGGAAGCTAAAACTTTTAGTCATTCTTAATCTTTTTTTCAGTGATGTCAAACCTCTTCCTAGTGCAGAAAGGTTTGTTTAGTGCCCATTTTTCAGCAACCAAAGTTTTTGTCTGTGGCCTGCCTTCCCCCTTCACATGGTGTTTCCAGAGGTGAGCACAGCAGGGACTGGCTGCTGGATTGGGCTGCACTGCCACTGCACCCAGGGACTTCTCAAGTGGGCAATGATAAACTCCTGGGAAATTTCGCATAGCCAGATTTTCACGTGCTCCATAGGTAGGACCTGAGGCCTTTGCATGGACTAATGTAGTTAATAAAAATCAGCTTCCATATATCTATTTTTTTTTAAAGGACTTTTCTATATTCTTCCTTCAGAGATCCTCATCAGCATCTTCCTGAACTGAAAACTCAGGAATTAAGTCTGCTTGGACATGCTCCTACAGACCGTTTCAAGTCAGTAGGACTTGCAGTAGCAGAGAGAACAGAAAATTGCCCCCAGCATCTCACTCTGCTCTGCTGGGCTCTGTGCATAAGCTCTGCCATTTTTGCAACCATGCATCATACCTGCCTGCAGATCGCATCTGCGTGATGATCTCCATGGCGACTTGGGCACTTGAGTCAGAAATATGAGCTGGTAAGTCAAGGTTACTCTCCCTCCTCCTCCTTTCTTCTCAGTGCAATGCGGGTGATTACTTGTGTTACGTTTTGGTATGGATGATGCTTATCTGGAGCAAAGCACAGCCAATCTGCTCTAATTCTCCCAATCCAGTTTAAACACCTCACACAGATCAGCAGAGCCCTGTTGTGTGTGTGTGAGGGGGTGGGGGGTACCAGATCATTTTCTGGGTCTGGGTGCAGGCATGACATCTCTTGTAGGGGAGGCTGATGCTACGCGAGTGGAATTCAGTGAGAAATCCAATATAGCTTTTCCTGCTCTGTGCATGGGAACGGTTGGCTGGGGGCCAGATGTAGGGACATGCAGGTGATTAGCTTCTCTGTCTTTACTGGATACCCTGAAGAAATGGAAACATAAATATTGAATTATAAAGATAGAATTTGTGTGGTCTCAGAATATATACATACCTTATAAAGCAGAATTTTAGGTCTGATGTACTTAGTTAGCCAGTGGGTGCATTGAAGTTTTGCCTCTTTGTATTCACAAAACATTTCTTCCTCTTTCTATTGGTGCAAATGACTTGAAATGAAGAATGTTTTTGTTGTTTGTTAGCATCATCTCCCCCTGTTGTCCATTGACATAAAATGCAGTGTTCTGGAACATGAGAAAGGCAATGCGTTTCCTCCAGTTCTTTGTAAGCTGATATGAAGTAGACAGACACCTTCTGAAGTTTTGTGCATGCTGTGCTCTTTTTTTCTTTGCTGCAACAAGAAAAGCCTTTTCTTTTAACCTGGCTTCCTTTGAAGAAGTAACTCAGGAAGCTTCATGGCCTCTCAAGGTAAGCACATCTCTAGTCTGTATTTTTAGATCATGTTTACAGAAAACTACAGTCTCGTGCGTTTCCAGCAATCAGCAGTCTGATGAAACGAGAGATCCAGGCTAAAACCACATCAGCTAAAGCACAGTTGGTTTGGCTTCCTTTAATTTTTCGGCATTCAAAAGGCTCCTAAGGAGACAAAAATCTATACTAGAATGTTATTTGAATAAAATGTTACAAAATGTTAGCATCTGCATTCAATCAGAAAATTTAGTGTTTGCATCTTTGTGCTTAAACCTGTCCGTACAGAATGTGTGGAAAGGGCAGGTTCTGAGCCAAGGGTACCACTATTTTTGCACACTTCTTTCCTATTGCACTTCAAAAATACCAAATCAGCAAATGCTTTTCACTTTCAAAATTGGCCAGAGTCCTGATACTACCACAGAAGAAAAACTAAATATCTGAAGAATAACTGGATTTAATCAAATCACTCCTATCTGGATTCACCTTTGTCACGTATTGTCTTTTAGCAGCAGCAGGTTGGGTACTCAGGGCTGTAGACAAACAGCGCAGTATGCTGCTTTAACCAGCCTTCTAAATTCATTTTTTCTGTGCTTTCAAATACTTTAAGTAGAAGGACACAAATCTGTTTTTTCTTAACGTGACTGCAGCTCCACAGAGGTCACCCCGTTGGGATGTGCCGAGGCAGATGTTGGCCCAGGGAGTTTCAGCAATATCTATTTATGTTTGCTGAATGCTCACCCCTCTTTTTTTTCCCCAAAGAAGACATTCTGCATTTACAGCACTAAAAGTCATAGAGCAGCAAGCAGGTTTTGCAACATCGTTGTACTCTTGGAATAGCCATTTTCTTACTCTGCGAGGTATGTATTTTACTTACCTTTAGCCATATAAAAGATATCTGGTTTTGTACATGTTTAATGCATAGTAGTTAACAGAAGCAGCAAAATAGTCATGTTGTGTAATATTGTTTTCATAATGTAGGAAGTTGATAATAAACTTATTTTAGGAACAAGGCACTCTGCAAATTATGATTGTACAGAATTCTCATTGTATCATATGGTAACTTTTAATATTTCCCATACCATAAATGAAATGGGAAACATCCACAAAAATAGACAAAGTGTCAGAATAGCTCAGATTGTTATCAATATTTAATGTATTTACTGTTTGGTTTTTATATAGCTTAAAATTTGACAGGTAGAACTGCAATTTGTCTTTTTTTTTCTCTTTATTATTCAAGAATAACACTAACATTCGGCCACTTCATGGCATTTCATGTAACAACAAGAGTTACGGCAGTCACAGAACCTGTGAGTAAAATGATGCAGAAAAGCACATAAAATATTTATTACCCAGTTATACATTTTTAAAAGCCAGCTACAAATTCAAAGGGGTTACTTCTTCTTCCTGTGGTCTCAGACTTTGAAAGAAAGCAGTTGCTGCAAAGACAAATTAAGATCAAAATATGATTAAACGATGAATCAGCCACAGTGAGTTCAAATAATGCTAAAGGATCTCATTTAAACCCACAACAGCAAAAGAGAGCTTCAGATTCAGAGCCAAAATTCCTTCTGGACCTCAGACCCCATTGTGCCTAAGTATTATCACGCATGAGATAAAAATGATCAGTCTGGGGACCGCTTTACTGCCGAAGCGCAGGGCCTCTGCTTAATAACGGGGATTTGCCGTTTGTATGCAGGGAGCTTCAGCTTGCTCTTCCGTATTGTGGCAGAGCCAGTGTTACTGAGGGCTGTGGAAAGATGCTCATAGTGAAACCAGTAGGAGTTTGTTGGGAAGCAAATGCCGAAGGTGATCACTGCACTGTGGGAGACGGTCCCTGTGCGCACGAAGGGCTGTGGGCGTGCAGGTACCTCTAACAGTAAATACTCTTGTTACCTTCACAGCACGAGCCAAGGCAACCATCACTGTGTCCTAAAGGACGTGTTTGCAATAGCAAACCAGAAAACACAGCTTAACGATGTCTGATCTTTTCATTAAGATAATAATGAATCTTTAACACTGCAAGAGGCTGTAGACTTTGATACCAGGGCTGTAACATCCAGCTTGGGGAATCTGAGATCCCTGGAAAGGTTATCTCTAATTAAGAGAAAATATGCATGCCCTCAAGATGCTGGAAAGCATCTTGCTAGAAGCAAGCCCTCAGCTGCTCGGTGCACATTAGCACGCAGGGCAGCTCACGGGGAGCAGAGCTGAGCAACCTGTGCTGGGGAGCTTGTGGCTGCCCCGCATGTGAGCCCAGATCAGCTCCAGCCTTGTCCCACAGACTGAGTGCTCACAAGATGTCAGAGAGGATTAGGTGCCCTCCAAGACCACGTCTCCTGGTTTAGTTTCATCTGCAGTGATCCCATGTTGCATACTCCTGGACTGCTTTATAAAATGAACCAGCGTGCTCAAAGTGTGGGGCCATCAGGAGATTTGTTTCAGATCCTGGCTCCTGATCTGAGCTAAGATGCTGGTACAGTCACAGGCAGTATGTAACATTATTGTTCCAGTTTTGATCCAAGCAGTTAGCTGCTGTTTGGCCCTGTTCATTTCTGATTTTTTTCTTCTCTTCCTGCAGAGTTTCAGGGACAAACAAACCCAGTCTTTAAGGATTACCTCCCTGGTTCTTCTGACCTTCCTGAACAGAACAAGCCTGTTGAACCAACAAGTCTCTGGAAGCAAGTATCACAGACACAGAACTTGCCACCTGGTCTGGAGTACCTGAACCAGGTCCTGAATCTTTCCAAATGCTCGAATTGCTTTGTTTTCCTCAGAGACTTTGGTATCTTGGGGGATGGAGTTGTTTGGGTTTTTTCTTGGGGGAAGGCAGGTGGAGATGGAGAGGAGTTTTTTTTATTCGATATTACTATGAAATAAGGAACGTGGGACTGACAAGCCCTTCCTTCATTGCTGCTGCCCATATCTATAGAAATCCATTTGTTGTTCATGCAGTTCTCCTTACACCAAAACCAAGGATTTCTTCCCTCTGTGACCTTTTGGAGGTCATACTACTACCCCTCTCATTGTCCCCCCCCAGTTTCCTTTCAGGTTCTTAAGAGCTCACCCTCAGGGAAATGGCTATCAAACTCCAGCTGACCTCAAAAAGACTAAAACAGGCAGTGTGTGAAGGAATTGTCACCTCCCTATAATCCGTTCTTTGAGGAACACAAAGGTCTTCTGAGCAAACTCCTTCTGCCAAGGCCAGTGCTCTCTGGGTTAGAGGTAAGGTCCTGGGGAGGTAAGCTCCCAAGGAGACAACTCTGTGAGCGTAAGCCCAGGTGGCTACAAATCTGCACCCACTCTGTGCCAGTTTGTGGGGCAGGAAAGCGTCAGTGCCGGAGAGGGGAAATGCCTAGAAAAGAAAGTGGACAAGTAGGTCACAGGCAAAGGAGGAAAACGGAAAGCTAAAGTCTTCTCAGTCCTACTGCTAAATGTGCAGCTGTCCATCTCGCTCTATGAAGCCTCTCAGCTCCTGGACCTCAGACCAGTGATGGTCTGCAGCTCTGCTCCAGAAGTTTTGACTCTTCCTCCACCTTTTTTTTTTTTTTTACTGGGAGAGTGACTCCCTGTTACTGTTTCGACACTGACTCCAGTCTGACTTTCACATGTGGGTGGATTCTGCCACACATATATGCTGAGTAACATGTCATACACCTTGCCTGCTATGGACAGGGACAGAACCAGGCCTGCAGTGTAGTCAGGTTGGTTCTGATACAGACGCTTCTGCTGTGTTTGTATTTTGGTGGTACTGGGAAATGTTTATTTCACTTGAGGTCTGCATTTTAGATACACATTTCTAGCAGTTTTGTACAGAAGCAGAAATTGAATGTATTTTATGTTTGGAGCTAAGTTACCTAGATAGCTAAAGAAACAGGGAGACCCTTCAGAAACAATCTTTCATGTGGAGTTATGATTTTCATTTCATGGTACCGATGCACAGAATGATATGTGTTGTCAATTACATGAGCATTTGCTCACAAACTGTGGGAGCTACATTTTTTAGTCTAGAAGTGATTGTGATAGTAAATACTTGGCAGGTTGAATATATGTCTTCTATATGAACGTGAATTATACCCCAGATTTACCCATACAATGTGGGCAAGCAAATTCTAGTACTCCATTTTATAGAAGATTTACATCTGACATAAAGACAAAAGAGCAAGTGGCTGTCCAAACTATAACTAGAACTCAAGACTTCATTCATGCTTGTTCTCGGCCCAATGTGACTGTGCTACAGCCCTCACTAATTATTTTCAGTTTTCTCTGCAGTCTGAAAAGTGGAAAGCATGTGTGCAATGCTGATTATTGGCCTATACCCACAGCTAGGGTTTCCGTGTGTTGCAGAACATTTTGGTGCGCGTTGCTGAAGCCATACTGGCTGTGTGACTAATGAAACAAGCTCATGCAGGATAGCTTGCAGCAGAAAGGGGATCCGACCAGCAGGGAGATGGCTGCCTGCAGAATGAATGTCGGATTCACAGCTGCCAGGATGATCCTTTGGGATTTATCCTGATGGACTAAGAGATTTTCACATAATGAAATTCTCAAATGAATGAAGATGTTTCTAGCAGAACTGGAAATTTTTGATGAAATTGGGAAGACTGGAATACTGTGTATCCTTCTGGTTGCGTCTATACTGGGGAAAGGTGGGTCTAAATTGAAACAGGCACAGACAGGGGCTACTGGAAGGACATGGGGAATAGAGAATCTGCTTTAAAACAAGACTGCAATTGTTTAATCTTTAGACAGAAAAAACACTGCCAGAGAGGGAACAATGACAGAGTACCTAGAAGAGTAAACAACCTGTGGGAGAGAGAGACATTTAATTTATAGTATTGTATTTCTGGAAGAAAGATTATGTAGAAAGTGGTTGTGAATAAATACAGGATAACAAATAGAAATGAGTTTCTGGGATTACCTCCAGCAGGAGTGGGGAAGATAGCTGGACAGATCGAGAAAGCTGAATATATTTCTTAGTAACACTGTGATATGTTGGACTCTGAAACAAGGATCGAAATTTAGTGAATCTCAGAGATCCCTGCAGTCTTATTCTAAACAGCAACTCAAAGATACAACATACAGTGTTGGATGAGAGGAAAAGAAAATGTCTGTGCCGTGTGTTAAGGCCAGACAGCAATGTCTCACTGCAAACAGGCACCTGGAGTCAGTCAGGCTGAGGAGGGATTTGCTCGGCTGTTCAATGTGCACCAGAGAAGGCCAATAAACTGCTTCTGGCCTGACAAAATGATACCACGATTTTTATCATTATCACAGAAGTGACACTCTGTAAACAATTTCCTACAAAACAAGTTACCCAAACCTCATTATTATCTTCCAGATCACAGCTATAGTTTGAGGAATTGGCCAGTGCCCATTACAAAAATCGAGGGAACATTTGCCTATAGCAGGAATAGACAGATGAGACCTAGGAGAAGAATTTTCCAAACAGCTCAATAGCATGTTATGCTACCATTCAGGCTCAACCAATTTTGTAAGAAGCCTCTCAGTTTATACCTGGTTAGACTGATCAGATGTAAATTTAATGCCCACAAAACTGGACAGTGAGAATTAGCTGTGTAGAAGGAATTTTAGCACATGTGAGTTCAAGAGTACTCAGATCTTCGTAAATCAAAGAGCTTTAGATGCTTTCAAATGCAAGTGCAGAATTCCCCTAATCCACAAACACCCTTATAAACGGTGCATCGGAATAGCTGCCTTGCAGAAACTAGCAAAAGGCAAAGCAAGCAAGCCTAACAAGGGAGATCATCGCATTGTCTCCACATTATTTATACACTGTACAAAATAAACCAATACACAGACCAAAATCACTCAAAGTTTTTAACTGCTCAGGCTCATTATTTTTCCTTTACCTGTGAAAAACTATGTGGGGCAAAGAAATCCATATTAAAATCAATGCTAAGTTATTAAAATAGTCCTGCCATCTTTAACTTGTTTATTCTTTTCTCATCAGCAGATCACTTCCCATAAGCTCCAAGAGTTCACATCTCATGAAATCTAAACTACAAATAGCAAAGATTCTTGGGAGAAATTTTTAAGTCCAAATATTTTTTATTATTTCAATTAGTGGCATGCACATTTCTGAGATTAATGAAAGGGACAAAGATGTTTCTCTTTTACCAGCTTTTCTTTGCAGCCTGAATGAGCTGCAGGAAATGACTAGAATTGACAAATGGCTGAAACAGTTTGAATATGTACCAGGCAAGATTTATCAATTGTAAAATATACAAACAATGGAGAGCTGTGACATGCTGGTCTCGGAAGGTCACTGTGTGCTTTCTGTCTGCAGCTGTGAGTAATGGCAAAATCCTGTGCCAAGCCATTTGCCCATCAGGAATTTAAAGAATAGAAATTAGCAAAGCCTAAACTATCTCATAAAACAGGCAGAAAAAGTCACATAAAACTGAAAGGTAGACTGAAATTAAGTCTTGCTGGTTTTATAATACTAATGACTGTTCTCTAAAAAAGAATAATGTCAGAGGGACGATAAGCACAGCAAAGCTGGGTATTATGGCAAACAGTTTTTCTCCTGCATTTGTAACCAGCTCACAGGGGGAGACAGTTTCAGCCAGCCGAGGGATTCTCTGGGGAGCTGTTGCGTGGCTCATTCTGGCACCTTGCTGCAACTGTTTGCCAGATTTAGGGTGAAGGACTCCCAGTGCCTGAGATCAGAGCGTTAAAGCCTGTGTGTGCTGTCACCAGCATCACCCCACAGCCCTGCCGGGCTCCTCCAGCGGGGCCCTGTGGGATGTGGCAGCAGCAGGCTTTGAGCTTGAGCCCAGGCTCATTCGCTTCTGCACTGCCGTGGTGCCCAGCACTAACCTTAGCTTTGGGTAACGGGCTTCCCTGCTGACGACACCAGGAGGGAAGAACAGGAGTGAGAAGTGGATCCTGCTTCTTACGTACATCTTTGCTCTTGTCTTCCTCATCCCCCAGTGGAAGTTTATTTTTCATCAAACGTGCAGGTGAATTACATGACCACAGCACCCAATGTCACACTCTTCAGTCATCATTTCAGAACCATGCCTGAAGCGTCACTTGGTGTAGCCCTTAGGCACCCAGCTTGTGCACCTCTGGAAGGACAGAAATTCTCATAACTGGGAGATAAGCAATAAAAATAGACAGGTGATCACTGGCAGCCCCAGACCTTTCCAACACACACCATCTTGTGTTTTTGTGGTTTTTTTTCTTTTAAACAGCTGGACCAGATAATTATTCATCAGCAAGTGGAGCTTCTTGAAGGTATGGTGCAATCCTTGTCGCTCCTTTAACAGTGCTGGTACACAGATGTCTCCAAAAGGCTTCCAAGTCTTGCCCCCACGTCGCTGAAGTCATTGCGAAGCCTCCTGCTGACCTTGCATCAGGCCTGTAATGTGGTGTTAGAGTAGTGAAAGCTCGCTCACTTTATGCCTGTTCCACAGGAAACCAATGAGGAGAGAAGGACTACAGTGAGTAATAGCTACACCAGCCCATAATTCTCTCCCTCAGATACCGCCCTCTCAAAGTTATTAAAGTTTAACTGACTTTCCAATCCAAGGAAAAATTTATTGTCTTTAACAATAATTAACATGCTACAAGAAACAAAGCAAATAAAGAAAGGAAGGTCATAAGACACAAAATGAAGCATGAAAGTTTCTATTTACATAGTTCCTCAGAATTTCAAAGTACTGAAGAAGTACGAATTTCTGCAAGTAAAACATTTTCTAGTGTATTTCTCCCATTCAAAATGTTTTCAGCCTGATTCTTGGATACCTTCCTGGGTGAAAGTTTTGTCACAGAAGTGGGACTGCCTCATTTTGTTACTTTCCTCAGATGATAAAGAAAAAGCCCAAACCAAAACTCTGGATCTGAATTCTGTTTTGTGATAGGTACTTTAGTGTACAGCGAATCAAAGCCTTTAAACTAAATGCTCCTTTAAAATACAGACCTGACATTATTATTTCCTTATAATTGTGTATTTTCTTTGTGCCATTATTTCAAAACAATTTTGTAAACAGTCTCAGTTCCATAGATTTTTACAATATATACTAATATATATAGTAACATTATACTAAGGTAATTTTCTGCTTGTTTTGCTTTATTAGCCATACTTGGCACAGAGACCTCCAGCAAATACGAGATAAAAAACCATTTGGGACAAAGAGTTTACTTTGCAGTAGAAGAAAATGATTGCTTTGACCGTAACTTGTGTTCGCCTATAAGGTCTTTCACCATAAGGATTGCTGACAACACGGGCCGAGAAGTGATTACAGTGAACAGACCCTTGAGATGCAACAGCTGCTGGTTCCCCTGCTTCCTGCAAGAGGTGAGTAAATCCTAATTGCCTTTTGTCCAAGCTGCATGTGCACAGCATTAATGAAGCCTTGCGCAACCTCTGTGCGGATGGCAGGAAGGAATTCACACCCACCTCTCAGCCTGGGGGACTGCGTGGAGGCCTTTGTTTAGAAGTGACCATTGATAAATGAGGTCCCTTTATAGGTTACATTCCCAGTTTGCCTCCTCCCTTTCATGGGACCTTACTTTCCTGACATCACACATAAAGCTTTTGTATCTGATGACACAGATACCTCTTTGGTCAGGTAACACCCCAAAACACTGCTTGCCCTGACGCAGTCTGTTAGTGCTACAGACAGACGTCACCCGCTGTCTCCGAGTGTGAAGGATGGACAACCCCTGGGGGCCATTCGTGTGTGTGGGTATGACTGGGAAGCAGCTCTCTGAGGAGGCTGATGCTTCGCTCCATGGCTCTACCTCTTCAAGGCCGTATATCTGTGGGAAGTTGTAGAACTTGGAAATAAGGTGCTTTGAGTGAAAAATGCAGATCCTATAAAGTATCAGAATTTTTTTTCCTTAATTTTGGCTCTCCTTTATTCAGATATCTTTCTTGTGTTACGAAAATGTTTTATAGGTAAACTCGTCTACCTACTTCCTAGTACTGCATCAGGACTTTAAAGAAAAGGTCCCTTGGTAGCACTTGGTAGCACAGCTGCTGTATAAAAAAGCTTGTAGGATACTCACTGATTGCAGTAACAAAAACTTTTCACAGCATATGGCTTTTATCAGATCTTAGATTATATGCAAGATCTTAGCTTCTGGTGCAGATTTTGAGCTTTATACTGTCCGCTACATTTAAAAACACCATTGTACAGCCTTGTAATATCCTGTTCACAGTTTGATAAAACTAGATGTAATTATATTCAATAAATAAACGTTTTGTCATTAGATAAACAATACACTATTATGGACAAATATGCTAATATAAAACTAGTTTATAAGATTTGTTTGTTTTCTTTTGTTTGCTAGTTAGAAGTTCAGTCCCCACCAGGTACAATAGCTGGGTACGTTGTACAGAACTGGGACCCTTTTCTGCCAAAGTTTACTATACAGAATGAAAGTAAAGAAGATGTACTAAAAATAATTGGCCCATACGCAACTTGTGGCTGTTTTGAAGACGTTGACTTTGAGGTAAGTTTCTTACGAGTGTTAAGAATTTTAAAGTTTTACTACTTTGAATAAATTTCTCACTCATAAATCCCGTTATTCTATAATACACTTAAAGATGTGATGCAGGTTGCTATAATTATGGAACAGAAGTACAAGCGCATTGGAGCTCCTGACTTGTACACTCAGATTCCTGCAGATGTTTTCTGGACAGGAGTGACAATTCCTTCAAGGAAATAAACATGTCGCTAAGCGAAGTCCTGGTCCTCTGCAGTCTATGAGCACTCTGCCATCGATTTTGATAGGCTCAGTGTTTCATCCCACATGCACCTACTGCTACCTGACACATAGTCCATCGAAACCTGTGGCATTGAATCTGCTGCCTTCATTACTCTCAGACTCAGAACCACGGACAGGATTACTGTCTAATATATCTACATTCATTTGACAAGATTCATCAGGAGAAAAGTAGTTCTGAGGAATCACTGAGATATTTAACGGATGAGGGGGAGACTGGGAGATGCTCATAGAAAGCCTGGACAGAGTTTTCTGATGTGAACAAAGTGCTTTGCCTTAGTTAAGGAATTATAAAAGAGCTTCTGTGTTGATCAACTTGTTAGCCAAAGCAGAAGACTTCAGCGGGTACTGCCCAAAATTTCAGTATACATGAGAAACATGCAGACAGCTACACAATTGAGAACATGCCTGTCAGTTGTAGGGGACAGCTGCCCACAGCAAAGGTACTGCTGTGACTTGGAGCATATCAGAAACACAAAACAGGAAAAAAAAATCATTGTGAAAGAAGAGCAAAAGTGGTATAAACTTTCACAATTGCTTTCCTCCACTTTTCTGTCAGCTCTAAAGATGCTGATGTTTCTTGTGTGCCACTCCTAAAGGCAAATCTGACACTAATAGAGCATCTCAATGAAAAGAATAAAAGAAGAGCCTGACAACTATGGCACACTCTGTGTGTGTATCAGGGCACAGTCATTACTTCTGTGGAGAGATAATCAGTGTGTACTTGATTTATTTACATTTAGGTGTATTCCTGTTTTTTATTTGTGCAGCTAAAAGCTCTCAATGAGATGTCAACGATCGGCAAAATTTCCAAGTACTGGTCTGGCTTTGTAAACAATGTCTTTACCAACACTGCCAACTTCGGGATCCAGGTCCCTGTAGATCTTGATGTGAGAATCAAGGCAGTAATGATTGGTGCTTGCTTCCTTATTGTAAGTACGCGAAACCAAGAGGTAGACCTATAGAGGTGGGCAGACTGGGACCAAAGGGACCTTTGCTATCTGCTGTGATCCTAGAAAGGCCTAAGTGCAGTGAAAAGTCAGACTCGCTACCTAAAATATAAGTTAACTAAAGCCCTGTTAATTTTTAAGGCTGCATTTGGTTTTTTCTTATTTGCTGAGCATCTTCAGGTTCCTAACATTTGTGGTTATTAAAGTGACTAAATAGTATGCCACATGTAATACAAGATCTTGCATGGCAGAATCAAATATCAACATGCATGTCAAACCGACGAGACTCCGTCAAACCCCTTAACTGTTGTGTTTGAATGGGTATTGGAACCAAGCCCAAAGTTATGTTCTTTCTAATGGTAATTTCCAATGGTGAGTGCCCCTTCAATAGCTCTGTCAAGTGTTGCATGTAAGACCTACAGATCATATGAAATTTCCTACAAAAATTCATTTGTGAAGATAATCATAAGAGAAGAATTATATGAAAAGGAGCATACTCACTGCTGGGGTAAGGATGAAGTTAAGATGCATGTTTTCTAGAACTACACATTGATATTTGCTGTGTATGTCTTTTGCCAACACTAATGTGATAATATTAACATGCAATGGTTTCAAAATCATCTGTGATACTTACATCAGAGAATATAAAACAAAGGACAAAGCCATTTAAATTATTCACTGGAAAGCGTTTGTGCTAAAATAGCAACAACAATTCAGATCTTTTGCTTTTATTAGGTTAGAAATGTAATTCTCATGACACTTGAGATTTTCCGATTGTGTCCTCCAAACTCCGGTTGCTCAGTGGCAGAGTAATAGAAAATGATTGACTAATCTAATTACTTCATGTAAAAAAAGCCTTCAAGTAAGACTTCTGATAGTAATTGCTGCATTTTTGTACCTTCCTTACCATTCACAGTTTGTTTATTTGTAGGACTTAATGTTCTTTGAAAACTCTTTGGATGGATTATAACAAGATGACAAATACAATAAAATATGCAGAATGTGTTTCAGTAAGTAAAAATGAAAATAAATTGATCTTCTTGCTTTGAAGACTTACACGTTAGATACTTTCTAATTCTTTTTCATTTTCTTCCAGAAATCCCTTGAGCTTTGGACATCATTTTGAACTGCACAAATCCTTGTTCCTTATAGGAAAAGAAAGGGAGCTAATGATGGTGTTTATTAAAATATGTTTCATGTAAATAATAATTTCCCACTTACATTTTATGTGTGTTGTAGCTAAACACATACTTTTCACACAGAGCACTGTTGCTTTGGAACAGTGCTATTCTCTTTGTGTTCTTTTGATGTTCCTGCATGGGAAATCATGAAAGATTAGATGAAGGCTTGCAGCATTGCTGATGAAAGTTTATGTTTAGAGAAGCCTTTGATGTTTTGCAAGTGCTGGTACCAGTTACTAACCACATGATGGTGTGTTCTGGGGGTTTTGCTTTTTCATAATTTTAGAAGTAATTTTCTGATTTGTTATTTAATTAATAGTAACAAACTGAGATTGAAAGTAACAAATATAAAGACATCACCCGATGGGAAGTTCAAGATGTTATCTGTTTCAGTGAGTTGAAAGAAGGGAAATCATGTTTGTTAGTAAATGAATTTTATGGCAAAGATTTGTTTTATGAGTGGCAGCCAGAAATTAGGCTTCCAATACTAGACTTGGGAACATAAGCTCTATTCCGAAAATCTTCCACTGCTTTTATCGAATGCAGGCCATAAGGACTGAGAGATGGTCCTCTGTGTGCTAGAGGCATGCAAATCACTTCACAATTTGAACTGTCTTGTGTTAAGGATTCTTGCTCCAATCCACTCAAGACTTTCCTTAAAAAGTTTGTTCCTATTAATAATATCTAGTGGCTGATAACTTTTCATTCAGCCCTGCCTAAGGCCACCCTCAAACAGAATTACTCTTTTCCTTTGGCAAGCTTGGGTGTGTTCTATGACAGGGCTGTACAATAGCAGCTTTTTCTATTTCAGATAGCAGTTTTACATAGCTGTTCATTCCTGCAGTCACACCTCATCGTACCATTCCCAAACATTCCCACCAACAGGCTTTTACTAATACGAGCTTCCTTTGTAGGAATATCCATGACATATACGCAAGACATAAACAAAAAGGGGTTTGTTGCAGAATACTTGCGAAAGGAACTTGTTTATGCCTCTCTTAAAAACTCCAGTGAGCCCTTCCAGAAGCAAACCAGTACCGTACAATATTGGTGGTAAAAACAAATGCTATCATAGTCACTAGTCAAGTTTCCAAGGGGAGCATTTTACAAATACCAGGAATGCTGGATTTTTTTAGCATGAACTAGTAATTCAATTCTTGCAAATAACCAACACATCAACGGAAGGGAGAGGAGATAATGAATAATTCATAAAAATGAAAAAGAGCTAAATTTATCAGGTGATTAATTCTCAACAAATATTTAGACTAATTTTAAATTAATGTGCATGGATATGAATTCAAACACAGTGAAGTCAGGAAGTTGCAACTAATGTTCCCATAGTGAAATTAACTCAGGAATGCTTATAGATTTAAGCAGTATGTTTTAGATTATATACCACACTTGGGTATTTATACACATTTACATATGTCTTGAAAATAATTGTGGTTAACAAGCTCTGACAATCATCATTATCTGTTAACCATTTCATTACTGGCTTGCTGTGATTCTTGGCAGTGCAATCAGCTGAAGTCAGGGAACCATGGCCGTCACCTTTCCCGGGAGGAAGCACCCTGTGAGCTTCGTGGGCAAGAAGCTCCCTCGTGTGGAAATTTATAGTTTTGCAGAAGAATACGGATGGCTGGTGCCAATTTGCTATTCTCACTGGTTTCACACTGGTGTCATTCTATTAAATTCTGTCTTTTCACCCCTGAATTATTCTAATGCAGACTGAGAAAAAGAGCTAGATTTTTATATTAATTTTTCTCTTTAAATCCCTTTGTCATCTTAGACAGAAGTGACTGTTATTGTAGCCAGCAGTGTCGGGTGTCACGCACAACCACATACTTGCACTGATGTTGAGTTTTGTGTGTCCAAACGCCCGGCTGAACGCAGTGTCCGGTGAGATCAGCAGGCTCCCCTGCTATGTCCCACTCTTCCTCTGCACTTCCCAGCCTTCTTACGACCCTTAACAAGCCAAAGACATCTTTGAAGTAAATGTGTCCAACCACCATTGAAGTAAATACAAAATAGGGCCTTCTTTAGCTGCAGGGATGAATTTGGCTGTGAGTGTCCACATCTATACCTTGTAGGTAAGCAATATATGCATATATTTTTTATGTATTGCAACCAGATGATAGTACTGTATTTCTTGCCTTTGGTGACTTTGTTGCTGTTTTGTGTGTTAGTACGACTTTTTAATTTTTTTATCTTTTTTTTTTGTTTTTTTTAAAGTGTAATGCTTACATACGTATATGAGTATGTTTGAATGCCTCTGTTTATATTCAGCAGCAGCTTCTGGGACATACAGAAACAGGTTCAGTCCCTGGATAAAACAAAGCACTGGGGCTGGGATAGCCCTGCTTGACTTTGGTCCTACCCTTCAAAATCCTGGTAGAAATTCAGTGCTGATGCCAGCACTTCTTCAAATGAACACTCCTTCATCTAAACTGCAGCTGCCATATGAGGCCAGGCATTTGTCCTCAGCAAAGATGACGGAGTTCTGTGTGACACTACTAAAGAAAAGCCTGATGTGTACTAAGGTTTTTAAAACCTGCAGCTCTAACTAGTAACTCTTTCTTACTAATAGTAAGGTGTTTCACATTACAGGAGCTATGTATGCACTTCACAAACCTCACCGTTCACAATTGTGCAGACGGGCTAGAAGTGACTCTCCAAAGGAGAATTCAGTATTCCTCAAAGGGGGCAGGTATTCTCTAAAGCAGATTCATGTCCTGAGCTTCTTCTAGAAAGAAATGTAATTGTTCTAATGAAACAGAAATTTTACTGAACCCAGGCAAGCAAACAGCTTCACACTTGATCACTAGCCAAACTAAACCTGTGTAATACATAATTCTTGTGTTCAGTAGGTGGCAGCAACACTTCATTATTACAATATTTAGCTCTCCACAGCTCACACAAGATGTACCCAGGACGCTGATTAAAGATCAACACACCTTTAGCCTCTAATTGATTTCTACCCTTAGCTGGAGGATTTTATTTTCTTTGTCTCATATTAAACCTCTGGCACATGATGCTGGGTTATTTTTATTGCCTGCAACTTACAGATGAATTACTGGTGACTGATATTTTATGAGACCTGGTAGATGCATGGGAAGAATCTAATCTACCACAAAGTGAGCTCTTCTGGTCAGCCCATAACCTAATTTTTGCACCTGGAGCATCTCTCCAGCTTCCACAGGTGGACAGAGGGAGAAGCCCCAGCCCCAGTACATTCCCCACCTTCTGCAGAAACAGAAAGCTCTGTGTCTAAAGGAGATTGCTTTGTGATGGGGTGTGTAGAAATGTGGAAGGTTTCTATGGGTAAAATAACTTTGCCCCCATGTCATGTCTTTATGGTCCATCACTACGTGCTGTCCTGGGGCAGAGGCTGGAAACCCTCTGTAGTGCTACAAACTCAGACCAGACCACCTGCGAAGGAGCTGGTCTGTCCATGGGAATGTCAACAACTTTTTTAAGAGTGGCAACACAGCATCTCTGTAAGTCCTGAGATCTTTTGGTCATCTAATAATCTGGGGGATGCAAAAGTACTTCTCTTTGTAGACTTTGATGTATTGAAAAAATCTTTTTGTGTTTCAATTGGGTTATTTGTTTTAGGATTAGACAAGCCTTGAAATGATCCAAAAAACACAATTTTCTAATGGAGTTGTCTAAGTGATACCTGTTTGGAAAAAAAGTATATGCAGTTTCCTCCTCCTGACTCTCCTCTTGGTTGTATCGATTTCTTTTAAATTAGAATGGTATGCTCCATGTTAGAGTGAAACATACCAGTTTAATTCAAAGATCAACTTTAGGTTTTTAGATGTGCTTTTTTCTTCGCTAAAAATGGCTCCCTTAGGGGGCAAAAAAGGATGTTAGTTCCTTAGGGATTATCACCCCATTTCCTGTGAAAGGAGATTTGTGAATTTTTTTCTGGAATCCTAGATGTTTTTCTGAACTAGATCCCTCTTAGGAATAGCTTCTTTAATGCCAAATCGCCATCGAAGTACTCTATTAGCACCTGCCATGAGACAACAGTTTATTAACGATTTTTCAGCATTTTGTCACTTCAGTCCTCTGAAATGAAGTCACCAAACCAATGTTTAAGAGACTAACACCTACTTGTTGGAGAGAGACAGCCCAGGCCACGTACAACTTTCTGCTTTCTTTCTGTGCTTGTTAGTCAGCTTTTGCGAGCATAACACTAACCTTATACAGAAGAAAGGTCAGGACAGAGATTGATGTGTGCCCACTGACTTGTCCCCAAAGCACGTTCACTGCTCTCTCCCAAAGGACAGTGAATTCCTGACACTGGGAAAAGGAGACCTGCAGGTGACCTCACATTGTTGTGTATCTCCTCGACTGCCATTGAAAAATCATCTCAATTCACATTTAGGTCTTATTTTCCAGTCTCTCTTTGCAAAAACAATACAGAGACTTCTCACCCCTATTCTCACTTCCTTTTTCTTCTGGCAAAGGGGTATAAACACAGTTATTACAGCATTGCTGCAAGAATCGGAGTTCTGACCTCATCTGCCTTGGTACCCAGCAGACCTACTTGAAAGCTACAGAGTTCACATTAAACCTTTTGTATTAACGTACACAGGACTGTTCGACCCAATGCACCACAGGTCTCACTGATTACGGAAAAGGCACACAGTGAAGTTCGTCCTGATGGACTTGTTTCCAGTATGGAGTCCTGGGGTCAGATGCAAAGCCATGCAGCACTGCTAGTTTGTCAGTCTTGGTTTCAAAATAAATTTACTGTGTTGCATGGATGAAATCTGTCTCC